CCCCGCCGGTCCCGCCGCGATGCTGTTCCACAGTCTGTCGGGCCCCGAGGTGCACGGGGTCATCGACGAGATGGACCGCAGGGCCAAGAGCGAGGCTCCCGCCATCAGCTCCGCCATCGACCGCGGCGACACGGAGACGGTAGGCGCACAGCTGCGGGGTCGGGGCCAAAAGCTGGGACGGGACCGGCTCGGTCTGCTCCTCTGCTCTCTTAAGTTTGGGGGCAATTTGGGGAGCGTCCTTCGTGCCGCACGGGACTGGACGCTGGGGCTCCGCGGACAGGATGCAAGGCCCGTAGCTCCCGGCTCAGGGGAAACCCGGCTGCTGGCGGAGGAGGGAAACAAGGTTGAAACCGAAATTTCAGACGCTGAGGGTGGAAGAGAGCATTTCTCCCGAAGTGGGAGCGAAGCCCTACCCGCGGCCGATGGCTCTCTTCTCACTTCAACGGGCTCTTTGGTCGCCAGCCCTGCGCTCTCCTCCACCACTCGGCTCTGGCTGCTGGCGGCGCCGCCTGCGGCGCGGGGAAGGCGAACAAACCGGCAGCACTGGGGCTCCAGCCGACTTGGGCCTCTCCCCGCCTCCTGGCAATCGGGGTTCCCGTCCCAGCGCAATTTCAGGGGTCGAAGTCTTCTAGGCTAGGGCTTTTCGTTGTTCGCATCTTGGGCCTCCTGGCTGGCCCGACTTGGCTCCGTTAGGGCCGGGAGTTCAGGCTCTGGCCTGGCTCTTGTGGAAAGAGAGTCCATCCGGATCTCCATACCTGGCTCCACCAGCCCAGCCCCAAATAGCCAGTTCCTTGCCTCAGACCTCCCTGGGGGCCCGATGAGCAGACGCTGCCCAAGCCAGGCCCAGAAGTGACCTTTAGAGGCCAAGGAGGTGGGGAGCACGAGCGAAGCTTCTCTGCTTGGAAAGCAAGAGCAGCAGCCCCAGTGCCTCTGCTTCTGAGCTCTTCTACCCCAGTTAAACCCTCTCAGCCTGTCAGTTTGGTTAGGAGAGGATTTGGATTGGGCCTATCCTGCGCTCAGAGACTTTGAGGGTGCCCATGCACCCCACTCACCATCTCCCAGGACCCAAGAGGGCCCCAGACAATGTGGCAGAGGTGGTGGAGGGGCAGAGGTTGCCCCGCGATTTGCCCTGGCCTGAACCTTCGGCTTAAGGATCCAGAGATCACCGGGATTAGGGGCCAGGAACTCCACCGAGTCTCTGGAGAGGAGTCTGTGTGGAGGGTGACTTTTAATGGTCATCTTACCCCTTTTCCTGGGACCCAGCAGAGTGTCTCCTTTAAGAAACAGTTTGGGGGAAGCTTTTGGAGGGCTTGGCTGAAGTAGCCACTGCTGCCCCCAGTCCCCAAACACAGCATGAGCCTTTCTGGGAAAAGAGCAGAGGGGACAGGAAGGGGGAGAAGTAAGGAGGAAGATCTATCCAGGCCAGCAGCCGGTCCTGGGCCTGTGGCCGGCTTGGGCTGCATGGGCGGGCCTGGGTCCTGAGCCCCCTGGATATGGGCCTTTTGGGGTGCAGGAAGAACACCGCACACCCTGGCAGGCACCCCACCCCCACCCCCGCGTTTAGGGCTAGCTGGAGCCTCGGAGGGAGCTGCGGGTGCCCGGTTCCCCGTGGCGTGGCGGCGGGGTCGCAGGCTGACGCAGGCGCTGCGGACTCGCGCCTCCCTCCCTCCGCAGACCATGCCGTCCATCAGCAGTGACCGCGCTGCGCTCTGCGCCGGCTGCGGGGGCAAGATCTCCGACCGCTACTACCTGCTGGCGGTGGACAAACAGTGGCACATGCGCTGCCTCAAGTGCTGCGAGTGCAAGCTCAACCTGGAGTCGGAGCTCACCTGTTTCAGCAAGGATGGAAGCATCTACTGCAAGGAAGACTACTACAGGTAGCCCCCACCTCGGGACCCACTGCCCTGGGCACCCAGGACCCCTCATCTCAGATGCAGTCTTCTCCGGTTGCCTTCCCTCCAGTCCCAAGGGAGGGTTCCCTACCTAGGTCCTCCCTTCTCCAAGCCAGTACACATTGGATGGCATCCTTTTTAAACAGCAATTTGAGGGAAATCTTGGAAAGATCTGCGAAGTGTAGGGACCCAGAGAAAAGCAGAAAGTGTCATCTTCTTAGCTTAGACCAAAAATAAGCTCGGGTCAGGGGTCCTTGCACCCTTCTCCCTTTGAAGTTTCTTGGGTCAACTAGAGGGAACAGAAACAGGCACCACCACCCCAAACGCAGGCAGTCTAGGCTGGTGTGGAACAAAGTTGGAGGGAGAGCTGGGGGATTGGATTGGGTGCATTTCCGGGTCTTTCCTGGAGATGGGAGTGAAAGCTGGCCAGGACTGAAGAACAGGAATCACTAACAGACTCCAGGTTCCTTGGTTCTTCTCTCTGGGTTTAGGGTTAGGTCTGCTTATTCTCTCTCCCTCTTTCTTTCTTTCTTCCTCTCCCTTTCTCTCTGTCTGTCTGTCTGTCTCTCTATCTCCGTTTCTGTGTTTCTTACAAACGTCTGTAGGATGCCCAGGCACTGCTGTGGAGGGCAGGATTAGAGGTTGAGGAAGGGGTAACTGGGAAGTTCCCCTTACTTCCGAGCAAAGGCTTTCCTAGGGCTTGCTCAGACTCTGGGTAAAGTCTTTGTAGGCATGAAAATGGTTAAGGGACACTATATTTCAGGGTAGGACCAGACCTGGGCCAAAATCTAGTTCCATCTTCCCCCCATCCTCCAAGTTAAGACCTGGTTGCCAGTCTTGAGGAGTGGAGTTCCGCCAGTGGCAGCAGTGGCACTTGGAGGAGGGATATGGGGGGGTACCCAACCGTGTGTCCCCACAGTCCCTCCCTCGATGGTCCCTACAGGCGGTTCTCTGTGCAGCGCTGCGCCCGCTGCCACCTAGGCATCTCGGCCTCGGAGATGGTGATGCGAGCTCGGGACTTGGTTTATCACCTCAACTGCTTCACGTGCACTACGTGTAACAAGATGCTGACCACGGGAGACCACTTCGGCATGAAGGACAGCCTGGTCTACTGCCGCTTGCACTTCGAGGCGCTGCTGCAGGGCGAGTACACCGCGCACTTCAACCACGCGGATGTGGCAGCCGCAGCAGCGGCAGCTGCCGCGGCCAAGAGCGCAGGGTTGGGTGCAGCCGGGGCCAACCCTCTGGGTCTTCCCTACTACAATGGCGTGGGCACGGTGCAGAAGGGGCGGCCGAGGAAGCGCAAGAGCCCCGGGCCCGGGGCGGACCTGGCGGCCTACAACGCTGGTGAGTGCGAGGCGCCCCGAGCGCCCGACGGGTTGAGGGAAAGTGCACTGCGTCAGTGGCCAAGAGCCGAGTGAATTTCAGTGTCTTATACATGTATACTTATAGCACTCTGGGTACTCCAGCCTTCAGCTTCCCCAGGCCCACCGGACGACCTGGCAGAAGGGACATTAGCTCCCTGGGCTCCAGCCCTTGCGCTCTCGGCTGGAGCAGGAGGAGAGGGTGCATTAATGGTCTTGATGCTCTGGGTGCAGGACCACATCGCTGAGAAATTTTTTAGAAGCAGCTTTTTGGTTTGGGCCTTTTACCCACTTTGCTGTGCAGAAAGTGCAAGGATAGAGAAAACAAGGCTGAGCCGACACCAAACAGGCTCTAGGTTGGCGTGGCTGAGGGAGAGGATCTGGGGCGGTGGATGAGTGAAGCAGAGCGGCGGGGGTCCCAAGAGAAAGCACTGGCTGTGGCCTCGGGCACCGAGCTTGGCCTGGCCTCCGGCCGGGGTCATGCGAAGTGTCCTGAGTACGGCAGGCTCGGGAAACTTGGGCCCAGGAGCCTTTGAGAAAAAGTGGGTCGTAGTGTCCCACCCGATCCTCCTGCTCCGCCAGGTCTCGGTTTCCCCCCGGGGTTCTTCCTCTGAGTTCCGGGTGACAGCGGGGCGCTGGGATGAGAGCCGCGACCCTCCAAAGCCGGCGCCCCGGGTTGGGACCCAGTAGGCCTGGCCTTGCGCCGGGTAGGGTGGAGGGCTTGTTTCGCATTTCCGGCATCTTTGAACCCCGGTTGTTCCGGGAGAGGCTCTGCCCCCTCCCGCGTCCCTCCGCACTTAGGACAGCTGCGGGGGTTCTGAGGCCCGGCAAATTGAACCTTTAACATCTGCCCGAAGTCTGCACGGCCGGGAAAGGTTTATGACTCCCTGGGCTTCTGAACTTGATAGAGTTTATTTGCAATTACTTTCTTTATTTCGTCTGCGACAGAATTGGATTCGGAGACTTTGTTTTCTTTCTCCTTTTCCCCTTAGTCCAATGCACAAGTGGAAACAAAACAAAACAAAAACCCTGAACTGTGCGGAGAGGGCTGTGGTGGGGAAGAAGTCAGGATTATTTTGATCTTTAAAAATCTGAGCTGGCTCGGGGCGAGGGGCGGGGGGTGGGATGGGAGGCGGGGGGGGATCCCCTGTTCGCTCCAACGAACGGGGGGGGGGTGGGGAGGCGGGTGGGGATCCCCTGTTCGCTCCAACGAAGTTGCTTGTTGGGTGATCGTGGGGCATGTGTGTCTTGGTGTGCGGAGCTGGAAGGAAAATACAGCCCCCAGTCTGGTAAATGGTGAGGGGGCTGCGGCCAGGTCTGTGAGGCGGATTTAATATTTGTTGAAGGCTCTACCAGAGATGCGGCTCTCCAAAACTTCCATCCCTCGTCACCCACCACCCTGAATAGACCACACTGAGTCCAGATCAGGTCCCCCAAAACAAAGCCGGTCTATTTATCAAGTGGGGTCGGCCTCCAGTAGGAAGCAGCAGGCAGGCTGGGCCACAGGGCGCGTGGTGGTTGGGAGCGGGGTTATGTTTTCCCGGGCAGACAGGTTCGCAACCGGGTTTGCAACTGAAAGGTAGGAGGTACCGAGGTGTATTTGTGCTTTTTGCTGCTCCGCTGCCCTCCCTGGCGAGGCCGCGCCGCACCGAGCAAGATGTGGCTGGAGGCTGAGTTTCAGAGGAGCTGGCACCTCTACGAGACTTCCCCATGCATGCCATCTCGTCATTTTCTCTTGGGTCCCTCTCTTCCTTTTTTTTCCTTTCGGCTCTCTAGGCGCCACTTTCTCTCTCTGCGTGCGCCTCCCGTTTCTCTGTTCCTGTCTCTTTCTCTCCCGACGCTCACGTCTCTGGCCTTGGCCCGGGCTTAACCGCTCACTGCGTGCCACCGGTGGCACGCTTACTCGGGGCTCCGGGGACTAGGTTGGGAAAAGGGGGAGCCTCCCTGGCCGCTCCAGCCCGGCCAGGCCTCCCCCGGTCTGGCTGCTGTCCCCCTCCCTCCCCTCCCGGCGCTGGCAGGAGAGAAATGGCCGCAGTGTGGGCCGCGGGGCCGCTGGGACTAGAAAGAGGGCCCCGTGGAGGGTGAGATTTCGGAGGTGTGTCCGGGCAAGTGTGTGTGTGCGTGTGTGCGTGATTCTGACTGTGAGGACTCGAGCTTGTTTGTGTGCACCCAGGGGCCCAGCCACACGGACCCCATGCAAAGCCCATCGCTGTGGGGGACAGTCCGGTGGAGGAGCGGCGGCACCTCACTACAGCGCGGTGAGCTCGGGCAGAGTGGCGAGGGGGCGCCGTCGGTGTGCCTGGCCCTTTGCTTAGGGAAGGGCAGTCAGAGCGGCGGGGCCGCAGGGTCGGAAAGTCCTTCCGGGGCGATGGCCACGGCGGTCCTCCTCTGGCTGCCCCTCTGGTCCGAGAGCGCAGCCCAGGTCCCAGAGGCGGAACTGAAACCTACCCCACCCCAGAGCTTGGCTGCCCGCCGGCCGGGGTCGCGGACAAGGCTGCCGGAGCCCGTGAGGGGCCCGGGCCGCACGCTTTGCGCCCGGGTTTGCGCGCCGCGGCCACGGGAGTCCCGCGCGGACCGGCCGGATGCCCGGGCCTCCCCCAGCCCCAGCTTTCTGTGTGTGTGTGTGTGTGTGTGTGTGTGTGTGTGTGTGTGTGTG